CTGGCATATTTGTAAGCATTACATAGATGTCAGCTATCAATAATCAGATGACAGAAATGAGGAGGTGGTATTGATAAATGGCATGAATCTTTTTTTGGAGAGGTTTTTGCTATAGGGCGTGTGCGCTTGCCAGAAAGACAGAGAGAGACAGAACGTGAGAAATCACCGCACCCCTCCCACCACCACCCTGGGAGGATGGTCAAGCCACAATTCCTTCTCCTCCATTCTCCTCTTGGGATCTTGGGCACGCATGCACATGTCCCGGTGTGAGTTTAAACCACTGGGTCTGGGACTCGAACCTCAGTTGACTACATGGGAGTCCAGCGACACAGCCATTACATCAACTGCTGGTCCCAAATGGCATGAATCTTAAAAGAAGTGGTGTCTTTTCCTTTTTCTTTTCCGTTTTCCTTTTTTCTTTTTCTTTTTTTTTTTTTTTTTTTTTTTTTTTTTGATGTGCCTAATAGCACTTACATTGGAAGATGAAGTGTAGAGCTTAAAAACTCCCTACTCTCACTCCAGGACATAAGGGAGAACAGGGAAAAGCAGGGTTCTGTGGAAAGCCAGGTTTCAACTATAACAAAAATGTGGGAACAATCCATGAAGATGTGGACAGGTATTTGTCTACAAATGAAGATGGATCTGCAAAGGACTCAGAGGAAGCATGAGAGGGAGGCCGTTAGCTGGAGGAGGATATGGGGAAGAGTAGTCACAAATTATGTGAGGTTGAAAGCTATCTATCATCTATCATCTATCTATCTATCTATCTATGTATCTATCTATCTGTCTTTAGAGAGATTAGGGCACATGTGCTCACTGGAGAGACAAAGACAGGGAGACAGAAGTGAGAAATCACTCCACAGAAGGGATGGCCATGCCACAATCCCTTCTCTTCCATTCTCCCCGCATGATCTTGGGCACACACGCAAATATGCCCAGCCTGAGTTTCAAGCTGCTTGGTCAGGGACTTGAACTGTGGTTGACTATGTGAGAGTCCAGTAACATAACCACTACACCATCTGCTGATCCTGAAATCAAAAGATTTTTTTAAAAAAAGTTTGCCTCCATAATTTGCTATGGATGCCACTGTGTCCCTATATAGATTTGAAAGCCCATTGGAATTATCTAAGAACCAAGAAGGCCGAGTAGTTTTTTTCAGTAGCACATTATCATCACTCTGTGACTGTTATTTCCATGTCTATGGCAGAAAAAGAAAATGAATTGAGCACATAATTGTTCAGTCTGGTTAGATGAGAAGGCAAGGTGAAGCTCAGTTTTTTTTTTTTTTTTTAATATCCTTCTCATGAGGGGGGCTGGGGAAGGGAAAAGGGAGATGTGCACCTTCAGTGGGACCTTTATGCTATGATCCATCCCAAGCCTTGTGGTCACCCATACATATACCTATCTTATAGGAGAGTCCTTGGGACACTAACCCATGTGGGTCCAAAATTGTATTACCACTGTGCTACCATCTTGCCCCAGTGAAGAGAATGACTTATTTAGATCGGGTAAATAGGTAAAACTTGATAGCTCTCATACAAATGAATCTGATGATGCTAAATGTCCGTTTCCATCTGCATTGCATCAGTGTCACTACAGCTGAGGTTATCACTGATTTCCAATGTCTTCCCTCCAGTCTCAGTTGTTGGCCTTCAGAGGGGAAGCTTAATAGCATAGATTCTCACTGTCCCTCTACCCATGTTTACCCCAAATGCTTAGTTCTTCATAATTTCAGGGCTGTGATGAAGAACCTTCTGGCACAATTTGAAATCTGAGGTGAGATTTCTGATGAAAGAAAAAGAAGCCTTTGGGGAAATGTGATTCTCTACCATATGGTGGTGACCTGTTTTAAGCTTATAAAATTTTTAGAAAAAGTTGTAGTATTCTGTTTCATTTATCTCATCTACTGAACTTTGGGCAAGTAAGAAAAACAAACTCCAAATTAGTAGCTCAAAATGCTTTTAAGCAGTTAGAATTCCAGCTGTTAGTGCAATAAAAGAGAACTTAAGCAACAATCATGTAACAGAGTATTAGTGTACATGTAGATAAATAGCATGATGAAGAAGTATTTTATGTTCCAGAGATTCCTTAAAATGAGAAAGAATTTTTTAACAATTCAGATTCTGCAGTTCAATTTAGAAAATGTTTGAGACCTTTTCTGAGAAGGTGCTGGGTTCTAGATCTCATGTATTATATTCCTAATGCCGACATGAGAAATTACCACAAGTTGGCATTTTTGGCTTGAAGACTCAACACTCCAATCTCTATTACATTGTTATTCTTCCTCTATGTCTAGCTCTTCTTTTCTTATGAGGACACCAGTCCTATGGATTAAAGGCTCACCCTATTCCAGTATGACCTCATCTTAACTAACTATACCCATAACAACTCTATTTATATGAATTTGGGAAGAATACTATTCAACTTAATGATTAACAAGTGACTTCTGCCTTTAGGAAGATACAGTTCTCAATGTAGTTGGGGAAATGGGTACAGGAAACTAATGCAAGGCCATGTGGTAGAATGGTAATGGATACAGACCACCTAGACTACACATGAAGAAGTCAATGATTGGTTGTGACTGCAGGGTAGTTATGGAAAGCTTCAGGGTGGAGATGATGATAAGCCTGAAGGGCAACTAGTATACAAGGTGGCAGAAACAGGAAATCTGAGCATGCTGGGATGAGGGACCAGTCTGCGCAAACACTAAGGTACCCTTGTGCTCCCAATGTATATTTGCAGTAGATGTCTAGGGTGTATGGCTGAAGGATAGCATGGGTTTGGGGTAGTGGTTGCATGTATTATGGTGGCCTCTGGGAGGGGATGGAGGAGGAGGTCAGATGAAGTAAGAAGAGATAAAAAAGGTGAGGTCAGGCCTGTTGTTTATTTCCCTGGGTGACACCACAGAGTGGGATCTTCCAGAGGAAGTAGGAGTGAGAGAAGTCAAGGAGAGGCTGGATGACCATTCCTTAAGAGAATTGTAGCAAACATTGCCGAACTTAAGGGAGTTGGACTAGATGATTTCTATGGTCCTTCTTAGCTCTCCAGTTCTGGGATAATTATGGATAAATATCTTTTCACTAATCATATCTTGCCTTTCTCACTAGTTGTTCTTTTGCTTCCTTTCTCTGTACTGAGCCAGGCACTAGAGATACAATAGTATATAAGACAAACACAGTGGCATTTTAATCTCTTCCCTGTAGCATTAGTTCAGGAGTACGTAGTAGGTTCTCCATAAACATTGCTTTGAATTGAATATATCTGAGGAAAAATGATGAAGCAGTTTTGCCCTGGTAATAAGTTCTGCTTCAAAGTTGAACTGCTTTGAAAGATGATTTCAGGGACCTCCTTAGGAGGAGGTGGAGAGTAGGTGGCTGCTTACATGATGTTTGAGTTCTGAGTCATCAAAAAGGCTTCTTTGCTGCCCGAAATATCTCTCATACAGGCTGCGGGTGCTTTTAATTCCAACATTGGAAGTTGGTTTCCCAAGGTTTTTTCCTCTCTTGGAACACAGATATCCTGTGGAAAGAGGATATCCGTTCACTTTTCATTAGTCTATGGGTACCTTAATAGGAGAGATTAATTACTATGAGGAATTTTATCTCCCCTTTTGTGTTCGTCATTAGGGGACAGTGGACAAGATAGAACAGCAGTGACCTAAAAGAGCAGGAATCTAGTCTACTAGTCTAAAATCATCCAGTCTACTTGGTGAAGGACATTATCCTTCCTGGGGTTTTTGCTGTGTAAGGGATGACGAAGTCTTGGTTCAAAGAGATGTCTCTGATTTGTTTGTCCATTTATTTGTTTTGTGATGGAAGTAGGAAATTTCCTTGCATACATCTTGAAATCACCTTACGATAGTAATTTTGGGATCTTAAAAGGTGTGGCTTCTGTAATATATTTCAGTTTCATTTGGAGACGAGAGCGTGATAGTGTTTGGAGATTTATAGATCAGCTAGTTCACTTCTCTCATTGTCTAGAGAAGGGAGCTCAGAGGTAACTGAATTGTCCAGATTCATGGCAAGTTAATGGCTTATGTAGGTCTCAGACCTCATTTTCCATATTCTTACTTTGGTGTTCTTGCTCTGGTGTTCTCCCCACTACCACATTGTTTTCCCTAGAGAACAACTATTTGGAGAGTAGATGTGGCCAGGTGGATGCCAATGGAAGGAAGGAATCTTGATCAGGTGAAGTCAGGAATTTCCTTCTAGCTTTCAGGTTCCTTGATTAATTGTGTTTTATGTAGATGGTGTCTAGCTAGATAGTCCCTGGACTCACAGAGTGATTATAGCCTTCTAAGAATTTGTAACTTCCTATAGAAAACAGAATTTCAGTTCTTTATTCTTTTCAGCTCTTTATTTAATTGGTATTTATCTTTTTTTTTCTACTTTATGTGTTTTTAAATAACTTTTTTTCTAATTATAAAAGTAATTATGACTATAGAAATTACATAAATATATTCAAGTCTGACAAAATAATACAATATAACAAAAAATTGCCCATAATTCCATAATTTGGCAATGGAGTGATAACCACTGTTAATGGTTTGGTGTGCTTCCTGACCATTTTCAACACATATTTTGTAACCTTATATACAATATTATCAGAATGAAATAGTATGCAGTATTTTGCAATGTAAAATAAGTACTATGCAACCCTTACAATATTTCATATTATGTAATATGAAATATTATGCAATCCTTAAGAGTTTAAAAATAATGATATAGAAAGAAGCTAATATATAGTGCTATGCTCATGAGCAATGTAATTCTGATTTGGTTTTGTTTGCTTGCTTATTTATTTTTAAATGGAAGTAGGAAAAAGCTGATGGAAATTTCTGTTTCATACACCTTGGAATGCAATTCTGATTTTATCTTTTAAGGGTTGCATAATAGTGCATCTCAGAGAAATGCACTGTGCTTAATGGCCCTGGTGGGAAAGAGGGAAAGGCTTAGGATCTTTGATGCTTTGGCCTTGATGCTGTGTTCCTCTTCTCCCAGGGCATCAGCAGTTTGTTCAGCTCTCTCAAGGTAGTCCGGCTGCTCCGTCTTGGGCGAGTGGCCCGTAAGCTGGACCACTACATTGAATATGGAGCTGCTGTGCTGGTCTTGCTGGTGTGTGTGTTTGGTCTGGCTGCCCATTGGATGGCCTGCATCTGGTACAGCATTGGAGACTATGAAATCTTTGACGAGGACACCAAGACAATCCGCAACAACAGCTGGCTCTACCAACTAGCCATGGACATTGGCACCCCCTACCAGTTTAATGGATCTGGCTCAGGGAAGTGGGAAGGTGGTCCCAGCAAGAATTCCGTCTATATCTCCTCATTGTATTTCACCATGACCAGCCTCACCAGCGTGGGCTTTGGGAACATTGCCCCATCCACAGACATCGAGAAGATCTTTGCAGTGGCCATCATGATGATTGGCTGTAAGTATGATGATGGGCATGAGGGCTGCGGGCAGACAATTTGTCCATCTGTTAGCTGGAAGTAGAGCAATGGCCATAGAGCCCATAGGGTCAGGAGATAATAACTGAAAACAAGGGACAGATTTTCTTTTTTACAGACTAGTTTTATAATTTTTCTCATAATTAAGCAAAATGTGCTCATTGCACAAAGGCAATTTAGAAAAAAACAAGAGTATAAAGTAGAAAATAAAGACTCCATAATTCCACCTCTCAGAGATAACTACTCTTACTATGTGGTATCTTCTTTTACAGACTATTTTCTATGCATATCTGAACACATAGATACGGATTTTTACACAGTTAAAATGAGATCATGCTTCAGATACTATCCACTAAACTGTTCTTATAGCAGTGAGTCTTGGAAGTCTTTTCATGTCAGTTTTCTTTTGAATAAAAATTGTATATATTTAAGGTATACATTGTAATGTTTTGGTACATATAATGAAAAGACTACTATAGTGAAGCAAACTCACGTATCCATCTTCTCACATAGTTAACTTTATCTTTTTGCTAAGAGCACTTGAAATCTACTCTCTCAGCAAATTTCCAGTGTATTATAGTAATATTAACTGTAGTCACCATGAGGCATGCTGATTTAAACATAGCTCTAGGTCTTCATAGTCCAGTATGATATGAGAAAAAGAATATATGAAAAAAGACAGAACAGCTCATTAATTATCCTTTTATTATGATTTATTGTTGAAGTGATTATAGTTTTGATAAGTTGAGTTAAATAAAATAGTCTCTACTTAATTTACTCGGATACTTTTTCCTTGTAAAAGTGACTCCTCTGACAAATCTTAAATTGTATTTCTGTTGGGCAGCAGTAGGCTAGATCAACTTCTTTGATGTCTGCTTGATGGTTGAGAAATTTTTCAGTGCAGAACCCCCCCAAATAAACACACACACACACACACACACAGATGCTTGTTCAGTTCAGAAGCAGTATATTATTGGAGTAACTTCACTAGATTGAAAAGCACCACTAGTTCTTGAGGGAGATTCTTATATCTGAATCCTTTACTCACTGAACACTGTGTAGCTGTTGCTGAACCTAGAACACAGCCTTTGGCTGCGAACCACAATAAATTCCCTTCATTAAAGGGAGTCTGGGATAGGAGTAAATGCACTGTGTTGGTGCTTCAGTGACAAATGACAACCTGGGAGAGTTCCGTCCTCTGCTGAAGCATCAGTTTGGACAGTGATACTGCTATATGTGATGACTCAGGCTCTGTTTCCAGCAGGCAGAAATGGTTTTGCTTGATGTATTCCTTTGGAGTGGAGATGATGAGTTCATTGTTACCTCAGTCAGAAGACCCAAGGCTTCTCTTAGACTTGCTTGGTCTAAGTGTCCAAGTGACCCGGATCCAACGTCATGTTCTTGGAGTGGACTTTGTTTCCCCAAATTGTCACATTTGCTGCTTGTCACCTCCCTTTTTTTCGCAAGATCTCATCGTGTCTGATCCAGTGTTTTTCTAAAAGCCCTCTCTGCAGGCTCAGTATTTGCCTGAGAGTATTTACAGAATGTGTCTAAAGGGGTAATTGATTTGTGGGAAGTGTGTGCCAAGGAGCTTTTGGGTTGCTTCTTCCTTTAAAATGAGTTTTAATAGAGATGATTGCCTGGCCATGGGAAGCAGTGTTAAGGATCTGTGGGTGGCTAATTGCTTCAGCTTAATTAGGACTTGAGGTGCTTTCTCATGGTGCAGCAAAGGATTTAAGGCCTGTGGTCTTCTAGAACTGTTCCAGCCTTAACTGTACCTATTTTAGTAGATAGTGCCCACAGCAATTTTGTGAGTCTTGGGACCCCAGTAAACAACCAGATGCGCAGTGCTCAGGACACAATTTCTTTCTCTTAGAGGAGGAGTTGATATACTTTGTCAGTTGAAAAACCTCATTTTATCCATTACAGAGAATTTACTTAGAGTAGTAAGAAAATGGGCCCCATTTCATGAGCTCCCCAAAGGCTTTCAAATACCTGGAGATTTTTCTACAATTCCACACCTGGAAGAAAAGAAAGCAGTCCTGGTAAAAACATAATAAGGATAAGCAATTTGTTTTTTTTCCAAACTATTCTTCTATGGAGTGCATAATTTCCTGGGTATAGTCTCCAGGGAAAACTTCAAACAATTTATTACCACCTGTTTTTTCTCCCCTCTCAGAGCCAGGTGATGTTTCCTTTTTTTTTTTTTAAATTATAATACAGAACTGGCTAGGGGGTTTGGTAATAACACGATGCTCTGCAAAGCTGGATCCATATAGATGGATCCTGGATTTGCATCCTGGGACTTCACCCCATGTATGTCTGGACAGTGCATATGCGCCCCTGATCTATGCTGGGTTGGGCTGAATGATAGCCTGGGACCTTGTTGTGAGTTCCTGTGTATGCCTCTCTCTTCTCCTTTCTGAAGAAATGAGTAAATGAAAACTTTAAAAATAAATAAAATGACATAGCTGTCAAACCTTTTTTTAAAATGTAAGACACAAATAGTTACCTCTGTGCTATGCAGTCAAGTGTGATCAGTATAGTCAAGTATGTCTACTTAGTACCAAACACTTGATTATTATCTCTCTCTTATAAGGAAAGGGAGGCTTCAAGAAATTAACACCTTTGGGACTAGCAGTTAGTGTAATGGCTGTGTCGCTGGACTCCCACGTAGTCAACCGTGGTTCGCATCCCGGACCCGGTGGCTTAAAACTCACGCCGGGCGTGTGTGCGTGTGTGCCCAAGATCCCGAGAGGAGAATGGAGGAGAAGGGATTGCGGCGTGCCTGGGGGGATGATTTCTCGCTTTCTGTCTCTCTGTCTCTCTCTGTCTGTCTGGCGAGCGCATGCACACTATAGCAAAAACCTCTCTAAAAAAAAAAAAGAAATTAACACCTTTTCTAAAGAATGTAGGGCTACTAGGCAGTACAGTCAGAATTCAGATTCAGTGATGGTGTAGTCCCCCCCACACTTGAACAGTCCCTCCACATTTACATGAACACACTGAAAAATCTCTCCATAATCCCTAGCAAGCCTATGTTGTTGTCATTTAAATTTAAGAACAAGATTATGGCACAGACTCAAGGGACTGGGTGCTTAGGAAACCAGCCATTTTCCAGCAACTTGTCACTTACAGCTGTTCCACTTTCTGTGTGACACACGTCTGACAAATTCTTGTGTTAGCAAGAAAGTTCTTGTACTCCGTGTAATGTGGTGGTAATTATCCTTATAAACTCACATTCCAAACAACCTTTGTTCAGGACAAATGCTGATGTCTTATTGGATTTATGGGGCTCTCTAATGTCTTGCTTTGCCCATGTATACACATCGGCATTCTTACCTTTTTTCTGCATGGCTCACAGGACTAGACAGAAAGGGGGTGTCTAGTGCTGAGGAGTATTGAGCACAACCTGTTCTTACATGGAGTGCTGAATGCCACCTCCTTCCTAGATCACCCTGGCAGTCAAGTCAAGCTTTCCTTAACAGGTGAAAAGATACACACAGCTAGTGGGCTCTTCAGGTATTAGTTAGGCTCTGATGTTTTGCTCTTTGCATTGAACTTCACATGCCTTAGTAATAGTATTTCTTGGCTGCTCTGTTGCAGTATATAAGGAGTCTACAAAGGTTCATGGAAAATCTTTATTATGAAAAAATTATGCATGGGTTTCAAAATGGTTTTGCATCAAGATGAATTCCTACTTTAATTCCATTAGACATATTGTAGACTATCTAGGCTTTCTGTGCTCCTCCTCTCTGTTCTCTGCTCTGAACATTTCATTACAACTTGGCTGACTCCCCAGATAATGCCAGGAATACTAAATATTCTCATGATAACCCACCTTTATGAGTTCTGATAAAAAGTTGCGTTAGTAAGAGATAACTGTTGTTAGCTCAAATGAGTTTTTGTGATTAGCTATGGGTTTAGGTGAACTGCAGTGTCTCTGATTGCCTGATTTTTTTTAAAGTGATTTTTGCTATAGGGAGTGTGTGTTTGCTGGAGAGTCAGAGAGACAGTGAGAAATCACCCCTTAGGAGGCAAACTGGCTGATTTTATGTCTAACTTCCATGCTGATGTCTTGTCCTAGACCAGGGGCAAGCCCATCTTGCACTGGTCTCCCTGTCATCCTCATGTGGGTCAGAGGTGGCCTCCTGCAAGGGCTCACCCTGAGGTGTGATAGATTCACCTTTTTGCACATAAGGCTCTCCTGTGTGTTGATGGTACTGAGAGAAACACAAGGCCCCACCATTCTGCATATGACATCTGAGAGATGTCTCCCAATCAGTAGGCATATTCTGCGCACTTCCTCAACAGGCACCAGGCTAGGTGCCGAGGATTTGGAGACAACTGCCATAGCTGATGCTCTCAAGGAGTCTGGTGGTGGTAGAGGTGGGTAGGAAGGACAAATAGGCCCAGTTTGCACCAGCCAGAGCCAGAGGCCTGGAGGTGGAGTTTTCACTGTAACTGAACTTTGCCCTGGCCTCAAAGGATTGTTCAAAGAAGGAGGAATTATCAGAAGAGTTCCTTTATTGTGAAAGTCTCAGTCCCATGTTAGGAACATGCCCCTGCCTTGGGGAGTTCTTTAGAAAGAATTTGATGGTGAATCAACCATTTCCATTTTCCAAATATGGGCTTTGCGCTTTGCAGATTTCCTGCTGTTAATGTCATTGCTGTCACCCTGTCATTTGAAGTCAGCTGCATTTGTTTCCTCTTTCTCAGATAATGGCAGGGGGTCTAGACATTGCATTCTGACTCCAGACACTCAGCCCCCGGAGCCCACCTCGGCACTGCATTAACCCTGGTCTGACAGTATCTATTAGAGTTTCTTTCTTTTCAGTCCTCCTCATCTCAGCCCCTTAAAACCCAAGCTGATATCCATGCTAGAGGGACTCTCGTGAGCATCCTGAGTCCTGCAGAGCCCTTCTTTCTAGTTCAGTTAGACCAGGTCCCATCCTAATCAATGCTTCAGTTGACTTTCCCA